CTCTCCAGAGGATTCAGATGAGGAATATTCTCCTATTTTTGTCCTAAACAGCTCCCTTAGAGCTAGAAAATCATTGACAATACTAGCTAAGTACCAAGAAGAAGATTCATAGAATGCAATTTGGATTTGAACAAGTGAAAACTTTTTTTTTTTTTTATGAGAAACACACCAGCCAATCTTCGCAGCATGCAAATGGTAATAGATCTGGCTAAAGATGTCCGTAGATAAGATCTCCAGAATTTCCAATCAATAGCAAGCATGTGCTTAACCACTGACTGTCTCCCTTGGTTTATGGGCGATATTACATATCCTCCACCTGCAAGGAGTTTAATGTCATCTTATGTGGTGGGACAAATTGAAAGTTAACCCCATCGATGCAAATCAAGACAGCCGGAATGCCACACAGTTACAGCAACAGCAAGTGCTTGACATAATCTTAGAATAATACATCGCCAATCTCAAAACAAGTATAGAAAACCTGGGATGCATACACAAAGTTTGGCATACACATCTCTTCAGAAATATATCATATAAGACACTCCAAAACAAATTGCACTTTGACAAAATGTTAGGCATACATTACTTTTAAGGCAAGCACGGACATATCCCTTTTGTTGAGGAAAATTCTTGTGAACCACAGAATGGTACAAAATGACTGCAAGATCAAAAGCAAAAGTTTATCACCAAATAGGTATCTAGCTGTTTCAAGCACCTAGAAATACTAGAACTCAACAGAAACATTAATACATTATTACCATATGTACCATCATCCTCCCTTCTCCAATAGCGTTGCAGCAGAAGATCTCTTCTCTTCATACCCCTGTGACCACCTATATCAATTATTGACCATAAATAATGAAACTTCAATTGTCAGAGAATTGAAGGTATCAAACCAAGGCAGCCAATCACGGAGCAGAAGCTTATGAACTATATCCGTATGGCCATCAAGATGTTCGATCACACTTCCCTTGTAGAAACAAAAGTCCCATCTGCAGGGTAACCCAAATGCATATCATTATAAAGGAGCTAAGAACATTTAATTCAGCAGGAGACACCTTTAGTAACAGAACTTGGGAGCAACCTCAACAACTCAACCCCTTTTTTTTGTCTTTCAGAGTAGAAAATAGTACAAATTCGTCAGTTCCAGAGTATGTATCCCAGATTCAGTTATCTAGTGTGTGCGTCTAATGTAGATTAACCATATGTCATATATTCCCAGCGGAGGAACTTTGGATGATTGGCAAATTGATGTATAATGAGAGGGCTGGGTAACATTGAGCTTTGATGTTAAACCATCATCTGAATGAATTTCCTACATTAGGGAGTTGTATAGGCATCAAACTCCACTGAATTTACACTAGCTCTTCTTTGCTAGAAAGAAAAGTATTCAAGCAGGAGTTCATAGTTTCATGACCTGATACTCATAAAGCTCAAGCCCCACGCATAGAAGTTTAAGAATTATGAAGACTTGAACAGCAATTTGAAACTTACTCTGATCTTGAAGGACCAAGGGACATGAGTGTTTGAAAAATGGTCTCTGAAGTTCCATCAACTACAGCAACTGCCATTATCGCAGGATGGTCATCCCACTGCAAAGCAAAGAAAATTTTTCAGCATGACATAGGCATTGACATTTTGCAATCACTAGCAGTGTTACCAGATTGATATTATCTAACCATCCCATGTGATTCCTTGTCCTTAGTTTCCTTGAATAGTCGAAGTCCTGCATATCAACATATTTGTGGAACAATAAGCAAGAAATTCAAAGGAAATAGGACCAAGAATTCATTGAAGTATTGAAAACCATTTTATATCAGCTTACACCTCAACCAATAACTAATGAAATCTGGCCCTCAGTTTTTTTTATTTATATTTTGGATGGCAGGAAAAGGACTTATATGCAATATGGCGACAATTCTTAAATTTGAATCCAAAAAGTACAACATGAATGGATTCACAAATTTCCTTGGACCGGGAAAGACATCTACAAACATAGGGCCTACCATTCTGACAACCAAAGATTGTCCATGATGATGGCGCAACAACATCAGATCCAACAGCATCTGTGACTGAGGAAGAAATGAAAGTCCAGTTAACAGAATTTGCACGGAGAGACTTGCTGGAACAATTTAACCTGTAATGGGAGAAAATTCTCATCTTCAAGAAGACTTAAATAAACATCGAATCAGATTCATACAGAGACCTGAAAAGTTGTTCTATTTGACTTGTCATAGAAAGACACATGCTAATTGCCAAGGAAGCAACGTACCTCAAAGACTGCGAGTCACGTCTTTGACAGTTTGTGGCATCTCCTCTATTCAAGTCAGCCTAAATAATTAATCATTTGTCGGTTGTCAATGTTGGACTTCGAAATTATTGGGCTTTAATATCAAATCAAATAACTCATACCTTAAAAGCTGCTTCCTGAAAGGCCTGAATCCAACTTGCAGCTTCCTCAGGACTGTTAGCTCCCAACTAGAAACACATGCATCATTTAGAAAATGATTATAGATTTAAACAAACATATATATCAAATTATGGGATCAAAAGGAGAAGAAGATTCAGCACCTTGAGTTGATCATTATGATTTCTAGTATTATAAAGGGTGAATATAAAAATAACCTGCGAAATTCAGACATAATGCACCATTAACAACTGGAAAAAGTATGCAATCATGTAAAATACTTATCCCTGACGTAGGCAAGTAAATGGAAACTCCACAAAGTCTAATGAAAAACAAGGACCATACTTTTCTTTGTATGCTTTCTCTCCCATTGTCTGTCACTCGGATGCAGGAATCAACAATTGCACTTCTGATAGGCTCCTGATAAAATTTCAATGTTTCACTTTGAGCTCACATGCTATGTTATTGGCTTATTGCCAAATACGTAAAACCAAACAAATTGACAATATATAAGGACTGAAGACAAGGATCTTTTCCCACTTCAGGAAATAAAGCCTTCAATATTCCACAGATTTATGTCCAAATCATGCACTCATACAGTTTCACCATTAACAGTTCCTAGGCATGCCACTAACTATGAAGTAAAGACTAGCATATTCCTAAGCAAAACTATACATCTTTTTGGCGGAAGCAATGAAAATCGAAAATTCATTCTAATTTTTATCAAAGAGATTCATTAGAGCTAATGCATAGACATTTTGTTTTAAGCATTTAACAATGACAGTAATCCATTACAATAAGCCTTATTGTGCAACTCATCTTTTGGTACAGGAAATAGTTCCTTCATAATTTATCTACTAATTAGCTCATTTTGAAATTCTTAGTCAATTCACTGATCATAATGTTCACTTTTGTTATTAAATTAATTCAAATTCAGAAAATACAATCATATAACTTGATTACTGCAGCAAACACAAACACACAGTTGAATTATTGTTAAGAGAGTAAAATATGGAACCTCGTGTTTAGAGAGAGGAATGGATTTGAAGCTCTTGAGCAAGTGTTCTTGAAGAACAAAGTATCGCTTCCTGGAGTACTGAAGTCCAATCCGGTTAGAACGAACCAGGTAAAGCCACCCTTCCATTCTACTGCTATCGCTCTGCAATACGCCCATTCCCGAGTTGTCCATCCGACTTCACCGAGACGCTCTGTTCCTTCAAGCATTCACAAAGTTACTAGCACTGATAATCTCTCTGTCACTCACTCGGAGGATTATCGTATTGAGAGAGACACCATTGATGGCTCTATGAGGTGCGGTGAGGTGGTTTTTTTGTTTTTCAGAATTTCAGCAACTGAAAACGTGCATACGTCAGAAGGACGGAAAAAAAATTTGGAAGGGGAAATGATTTTTTTTTTTTTTTTGAACGCATGAAATGACTATACTACCCTCGAAATCGCGGCTGGTTAGTGGTCGCCGGACAGACTCCTCATGTTCCTCTGAACTTCAATGTGGTACTCGTAGCGTAACGATTTGCAACGCCCCGTGGAGAGGAGTTGGCATGGAGGGGAGGGGAGGGGCTTTTATGTCAAAAATGATTCAGTTTCAAGTCAATATTTAAGTTTCAGTTTCAGCTTTGATGAAGTTTACCACGTCCCGTACACTTCACTCCAGAAATTTGTGTACAAGGAGGCGTTTGGTTTATGGACATAAAGGTAAGTAATTAGAACGAAAGTGACTCAAAAATATTACATTTTACCTATACATATTTTATATCTGTCTCAAGTGAGATAATCTCACATAAATTTTTATTTATTTAATATCTGTAGTTATGTATAACATATATTTATATTAAATCAATAAAGATATTTATCTTTTACATTATAAGGAGTAGTAAATGAAAAAAAAAAAAAAAAAAAAAGTTTTGTTTTTTTAATATATCCTACTTTCCATTAACAATATCTTTTCACTTGACATGTCAAATTGTTGATCCTTTACTATTTCACGTAGGTAAGTAACAAGTACATCATTATGTATACTATATTGAAGTTAGATCCCACATTGCAGTGTACGGTGCCCCTTTTAAAGAAATGAATAAGGCCCTACGTTACAAGTGACATGTGGATGGCATGTAGCCTCCGTATCAGGTATCTTCTCCATCGGTTAACCCCAGTTAAGACGGTTCCTTGTGATTTTTTGTGCACCTTCAAATAATAGTTGCAAGTTTCTCTTGTCACCCTAAAACGTGAGAATTGTGACGAGTTTAAACTTAAATTATATCACTAGAAACAGTAACAAAGTGCAATTGTATTGACCAGAATGGTACTTTTTGCTTGAAAATTTTCGTCCTTTTTGGCCTTTTTTGGGGGTCGAATTGAAGCATCTTATCTGATGACAAATAATTATTGTTTCAGATTTTGATGGACGTGACGGCAAAGAAATGCCAAAATTTATGTGCATACCGAAATGTCAGGCGCAGGCACTTGGAGTTTTGCCTGGGACGGACGTTACGAAGCGTTAACATTACCTGTTATGTGCGACACCACATAGGATAGAACGTTGATCCACCAAACTATAAAGTCATCGACAGAGTTTAAATAAATTAATTAATTAAATATTGGTGAACAAAAATGACACGCCAGAGCTATTGCACAGAGATTCCAATATCTAACTGTTGAATGTTTCATGGCTACAGATAATGCCCCTACTCTGCTAATGAGTAGAAAAAAGGAGGTGAGGGAAGCACAATTCCCGACTTATGCGCAACTCTAAAGCAGAAAAATGGTGGAAACAAAAATATAAGGTAGAAAAGGAGCACTGTACAAAATGTGCTGGGATTATGGGAGGCATTTCAATGCAAACTCCTACCAATCTTTGCAAAATACTGCTTGTCTGCAGTGGTTAGGCGATCTTGGAACATCGCCCACTCAGTTCTGCACCTCTCCCTTACCTGAAAGGGGAAGGAGTTGAATCGAGCTAAATATTCACAATTATTATTCATAAAATAGAGAAAGATGTGAGTGAATGACAAGGTTGGATATGAGACAGGTAGACTGGATATATATATGTATACATACCCCTTGCCAAGGAGCTTTGCCATTCTCCGCCTGCCCCTACGAATTGCATTAGTAAGTGTACTATGTGAGAAAATAATGAAAAACTACAATAAACATGCATGTGCCGTGTGCGCAATCATCCTCAAAAATATTATGAGGAACCTTTTAGAGCTGGCAGCATATTAGTTCTTCAGATATACAGAGATCTTTTGGGATTGAGGGCTCTTGGGGTTGGGGATTCAACCTTTTGGGAGAAGAAGTACGGAGATCTTTAATGGTGTTCCATTAATAGCCAACATTTATTAGACTCAAAACTGTCGAGGATTATCTTTCAATTCAATACTAGTCTATCTCTCCTCCCTTACCCCACAAAAAAAAAGTCCAACACCCCCACCCCCCCTAACCCAAAGTTAGGGTATGTTTGGCAAACCTAGCTAAAAAGCTGAAAAAAGCCTAAAGTTGAGAGTTGTTAAACTAACTGATTGTGGTTAAAAGTGTTTGGTAAAATTGTTGATAAATATAAGGATAGAAAGGGTATCTTTAATAATAATAATAATAATAACAATTGTTATTACTATTTATTATATTATTGGTAAAATCATGTTATTTAGAGTGGAGAATAGAAAAATCTTACAAAAGGAAGAACTAAAAAGAGAGAGAGAGAGAGAGATTAAATATTCAAATGTATATTTTAAAAAAGAGCAATTTATGGTAAAGATAATATTATCCATTATTGCTAGAATAGAATAGTAAATGCAGGGGGAGAGGGGGTTGAGAATGAGAGAAAAAATAAAGGGGATAAGTTTGAATTGAGAGGGGTAGATTATGTTATTTTTTAAACTAACAAGGATAAACTTAGAAAGAAAAAAAAAAATGAAAAGCTAGGAGCTTATTTTTGAAATGCAAATTAGGATAGCGAACTCCCTTTTAATTACTAAAAAGGAACTTATAGCTCACTTGTAGCTTAAAATAAGCATTGCCAAATAGAGCCTTGCTATTTTTGGTTATGGCATTTAAAAGGCCAAATTGCCAATAAAAAAATGTCAGCAGATACTCAACCTGATTCCCAAGAGAGGGAATAACTTGATGAATGATCCACTGTGAATCAACTACACCAATCTTCTCATGAGCAGGCTGCAGATCCAAAAATAAAACAATGATTAAGAATCTTTCTATACAAGGATTCTCGATATTTCAAAACAAAAACTATTTAACAGATGTAGCTGGAATTTTGGAGAAATACCAACCTCTACACATCTTCTGAGAGCAAAATCCAATCCCCATCCATGCACCAGATCATTCTAGAAGCAGATATTAGTCACAAAAATATTAGCAATACCAAAAGTGCAAACACTTGGGATAACAATGAAATTTTAAAAAAAATAATAAATAAATAAAAATAAACACTCATGAGTAGGAAATACCTGAATCATATGCCAAACACATCTCCATGCTTCTCGAGAGAAAACAGGAGCCATTATTTCCACAAAACTGAACAAAAGCAGAAATCATATACCATATGATTATTCTCACAACTATTACAAATGCTATCTATATGTATTTAAAGGTATCAGCAAGATATGAGATACAGAAAAAGGGAGAGAGGAAGTACGCTGCACAGGGAGGCAGATGTGGATCGCTGCACCAGCCTGGTTTCTCATCTGTATCCCTGTTAATCCATACAAAAGTTATTAGCCTTGAAAAAGGACAAGTTACTTGAAAACAAAAGATAAAGCAATTTTAAAATGCCAATAATAGAGAGTTCAACATATTAAACCTACTTGTGGACTTCTCTGTCTCCTCTCCTTTTGGTCATTTGCCATGTCAATCCATTGTTTGGCTCTAGACCAGGCTGAGATATCTCTAGACCATGTTTCCTCACTAGCTGAATATACCTGCCAATACAAAATTAATTCAAAACCAAAATGAGTCCCCTATTAGGCAATCAATCTTCGCAACAGAGTCAAAGAAAGAATCAAAACACCTAAAGTAAAATCACTTACTTGTCAGCATTGAAGTGCTCCACTCCAAGATCTTCATCCCAAATAAATATATAATCATAAGCTGCTACAACATCAGGATGCAAAAACCGCTTTGCATACCACCTATGAATGGGGAAAAAATGAAGGAAAGAGTAAGAAGATAATGAAACAGCAAAGACACTAGCTTCTCCACTTTTAACTAACAAGCTGGTAAAGTTGAATGGTTAGCATTCCCATATAGCTTGATGCTACTTTATCTAATTTGTTTTCTCTTTTAACTTATTTATTCATGACGTCTTTAATAAGTTACCCTAGTCATGCCATGGTTTTGCAAATTTATGCACAGCATGAAAGTACTAGAGCTTAGAAGTAAAATCTAGAACAAATTCAAAAACTTACCATTTTGTTTGCTTTCTAGCACTGACATGCACTGCACGCCTTGACCACTCAAACTGATCCCATTCACTTGTCCGACCATCATAATGAAAAAGCATAATCTGAAAATCCTCTGAAAACTAAAAGCAACATTGCAAAAAATAAAACTCAGTATATGAAATCCAATGGTAGACAAACATGCCAATCTTGAAAGAATTTCCTTAATTTATATAACCTTTTTAACTGCTGCATCAATATTGTTCTTTTGCTCCAGACCAACTGTGAAGGTCACCAGGTACTTTGGTTTCCTTCTTAAATCCTGAAAATTTCGAAAATACTGTATGATACAGCCCAGGTACATAAATTTAATTGAGCAAGGAACTATTATAACCAGTGTATGTTATACTTCTATTTGAAAGTTTTAAACATACACTACAAGTCCTAATTCTAATTGCCAGAACAGACCCAATCACAAATTCAGAAGCATACCAATACTAATATCCTACCCAAAGTTCCAAATACAACAATGAGCAATGATTGTATTTCCTCAAAACATACCTCACTTGGTTCACCCCATAATCTACGCATATAAAAATCTGATTCTGCAACTACAATTCCCGGTGGCAGTGATTCTGCACCATGAGGATTGGTAGGTACATATATCTGGAAGTCATAACAGTTGTTAGTAATATGGACAAATAAAAACCTATATGGTCGGGATAGTGAATGTAATAATATCTTGAAATCACAATTTTGCTCAGCAGCAAAACAAAATGCCCATAAAGATTGTAAGCCAACTATAAATAAATACTCAGGAGTTTCATTTTGCCTAACAAGGTGGCACACAATACTATTTCTAGCATATAAGATGATAAAAATAATAGCGAACTTCTATTTTAATGACTCATATAAGAAATGCAACATCATCAAAACATTACATTTAAACTGTAAATAAACAGAGGGACTAAATTCAGGGCATTTTAAACAGTGTGAGGGATGACATTGGAAAAGTTAATTCTTTCAATGACTGAATTGAGAATAAAGTATACTTTTGAGGAAATAATTATAGTAGTTTACTCTTAAAAAATAACTATAAAAACATAATGAATGTATGACTGGAAAGGAAAAACAAATGTACAGTTTGAAAGTCCAAAAATGCTCATCAATGAAACGAGTACCTTGGGCGTTACAGGAATACTACCAGAACCAAGGTTTTCAGGAAAACTACGAGCACTATATGATGTATGTCTGTGACGGTCATCACCAAAAGCTACATCAATAGTTGATATAAGGCTTGAGGGTAAGTTAATCTGCACAAGATCCTCAAGCATCAACTGGATGACAAATATATATATATATAAATATATATATATATATATATACAGTCTACACCCATCAAATTTCTCAAAAACACTAGCAAACATACCTTAGTTAGAGAAACAAATGGAAAGGAAATGCCTATAAAATATCCAAACACCATTCCCATAATTGTTGTTATAATTAGCCTGGCACTATCATTTGTCTTTTTAAGAGTCCCACTGCAATTGGAAGAAAGAAGAAGTTTAAGAAGTAGATGTAAAACTAAGTCAACTAACTCCTTCAAAAGAAACTATTTTGTAACAAATCCCAAATACTTTTCAAGCACATATTCCCAACAATATAACCAAGCAAAAGATATAGGTCTCTAACTAACCTGCGGTGAATGATTCCCATTGTGATAAAAGTTGCTCAACTCAGAGGTCGTGCACTATGCAGAAACCAATTCTTTGAGCAACTATTGAAGCACTTATAGCGTCCTCCAGTCACAAAATAGCAAACTTAACACACCTGTAAAGGGAAGTACCATAAGTCAAATGATTAGTACACAATCATTAACCATATACATTCATCAAAGCTTTAAATATCATATTCTATTTGCTTGCTTCATAAATTCTAAAGCATGTTTTTTTCTTGAGAATCGCATTATAGTGACAGACTAACAAGCCTATGTGATAATCAAAATAAGTTTTTGAAGTATGCTCATCAATCGTATTTTTCACACACCATGGAAGCCATGCAAGGGATTTATGTTTTCCATTAAAACAAGGATAATAATACTACTTGGATGCTTTCAATAACCTTAATTCATACTTGAACCAAAGAACTCTACAAGAATTGAATCAAGTTTATCAAACAAATTCATCCTTGAACACATTTTTGTGAACAAGAGGCAAAAGAAAAATAAAATAAAATAAAGGGAAAAATAAAATAAATAAATAAAAAAAATCACAGTTTAGCTCATTTTTGGTCCTTCTGCTATCCAACTTAAGCCAGCAAAGATCATTACACAAGTAAAATAGCTAAAATTCAGACTTAATAAGAGCTAATCGCATCCAACTTATTCAATCATCTCCTAATAAAACACGAGTCCTAGAGCACAAATAAACATAAAGAAAACAGAAGAACCAAAAGAAGATTAAACCGTCACTCCATTATCATTCCACAGATAAAAATTTTGCATGATCTCGAATTTAAAGTGAAACAAAAACCTACTTCACGGATCCATGTGGAATTCATCCCATAAATACATCAGCCACCCCGAGAAACGGAATCGAAATACCCGTCTCATGTAAGCAAAAACACTCGAAAACGAAAGATTAAATCCCGAAAAACCCCTCCCTAACGATATCCAATCACATATCCGAACGAATAGCGAGATTTCAAAATGGAGCACTAAAGTTGAAACAACGAAATGAACGAGTGTGAACATCAACCTTGAAATGTAACAACGGAGATCCCCACAGAAGATGAAGGAGCTAGGGTTTGTGAGCGTTACAGGTTTCAACGAAACTTTGAGGAAGATTTGGGGTTCACCCTCCCTGAGAGATCGGTTTGATTGTTTCGTATTCTTTTGCTGCAGGCGAAATTTTCAAAAAAAAAAAAAAAAATTATTTGACATTTTCCAACTTAGCAAATAGCATCATAGATTGATAGGATATGAATAGTATTGATGCGTTGATACCCACCCCCGGTCTTACCGAAAATACGAGGAAATAGCTCCAAACTATGAATAAATTAATTTTCAGACCATATACATTAATATATGAGTTCTAAATCTTACTCCATAGATTATATGTACTCCCAAATTTTACTCCCTAAATTTTATGTGGGTCTCAATATAAGCGTTTACATCAGGATTTTATGTATAGAAATAAAAGTGACTATTCTCTTTGGACCAACTTCGGTGCCTCTCGGAGCGAACCGGATGGACCTGGACCGTTAAACGGATAGAGAATGACTCGGACCACATTGTGGTTTACAAAAAAAAAAAAAAAAAAAAAAAAAAAAAAAAATTGAGACTATAAAATGAGAGTACCTGTAATATTTTCTTCAAGGATTATTTTAATCAAATAGCCATAAATTATCAATATATTTTTTTTGATGCTACTGACTCTATTACCTAATGAAGCACACAGAGGCGACAACGTCTCCACTGAGGCTCAATCTCATGACCTCCTACATAGAAAAGGTTATTACATGTCATCTGAGCACAAGGTGCTTGACATGTATTATCTATCTTTAGTTGACATTCATTATTACTATTTTATTTGATAATGTGATTGTAATTATGTAATTCAATTTGAGATAGCTCCTCAAATTCCTTTGAGTTTCGAGAAAGTCTATCGTCTTCAATAGGTCGTTCTCATTGAGAGTCGGACCTTATTAGGAATTTCTAATTAAATTGAAAGAAACACACAATATCTCATTCACTCCATGGATACTTCTAACTTTTTATTGATATTGAGTAACTACTTCTTGATAACATTTTTTTTTATCAGAGCATCCCCAAAAGGAAGATTTTGGATTATTTTTGCAAGTCGAGTTGCTTATGTGAAGGAAAGAGGGAGAAGAAAGAGAATGTGTTTGGTGCTTGTAGGAGAACTTGATTTTTAAAATAAAAGTGGGTCTCACTAAAAAAAAAAAAAAAAAAAAAAACCGCCTCTTCTAGTGTGCGTGAAGCACACCAAAAGCGCCCAGTCGGGTGCGTGCAGTACACACCGCTTGGCGTGTTAAACTCTATATATATATATATATATATATATATATATATATATATATATATATATATTGGTTCCTGTGAGGTCTTCCCGTGCGGTCAGTGTGGCATACACCATTAGGTATGCATAAATGCATCATACAGTGTTCAAAAATACACTAGAATGAAATGTCAAAAAATACACCACACAAAAAAAAAAAAAAAAAAAAAAATACACCACACATAATGGTGTATTTACGAACACTTTGTGGTGCATTTATGCATACCTAATGGTGTATGCCGCACTGACCGCACGGGAAGACCTGACCTCACAGGAACCTGACCCTATATATATATATATATATATATATATATATATATATATATATATACATACTAGCATTTTGTACGCGCGATGTGCGAAAACTTATGCCCAATATTAAAATATTTGTAAGTAACAAAATTTAAAAATTAGTTAAAATTATGTTTTGCAATTTCTTAAAGTAATGATACTTTTGAATTATCATATATTTGAATAATATAGTGATCAAAACAAAAAAAAATAAATTATATTTTTATATAATAATAATTTACAAATAATACTAAGCTAACACTCACATATATGATATATTGATATGGATACACAAATAATATACATACAAATTATATATATATATATATATATATATATATATATATATATCGCTTTTCAGATTTTGTTTGTTTTTTCATTTCCTCTCATTTTATCTTTTATACAAAAACTCCTCAAAATCTATGCTTATTGAGAATGTTCTCATGTCTCTTAATCACATCACAAACGATAATCACTAAAACTTAAAAAGAAAAATGTCAATTTCAATGTACTAGATTAAAATTTTCTTTTTGTTTAAATTTAAGTATTACGGAGTACTTAAAATTGAGAGTATACGACCCTAATTCTCTCTCGTATATGCTTTTCGACTACTCAAATTTTTACACGGCTATCGCCTCTATGAAGCAAGCGAATTGGAAGCGGCGTCCAATCATCTTCCCCTGCCGCCATTCTCCACCAACGTCCGCCTTCATTGTCCTCTATGCCTTCACCGTTTTTTCTTTCTTTATCCGTCTTGCACGGTTATTTCCCTTTTACTTTATTTTACTGGTTTAATTTTGTTTGTTGTTTCTGTGTTTTTCCTCTCGTTGTTTTGACGAGTTACTTCCTCTCGTTTACTTGGTGAGTTCTTTTTCATATAGCGTGAAACGATAAAATTGGTCATGATATATGTAAATGTCATCCTAGGTGACAAACATGACAATGAAAAAGAGACTCCACTGAACTATGATATGTTGTTCAGCCCATGGAGATATTGTCAATGGATATACAAGAATGGAAATAGATACTCAGGTGGTGTGCAAGACTATTCAACCACAGACTATTCAACCACTGTTAGTCTTAGGTACGTTTGACCAAATCATTAAAGAAGCTTTAAGTTCTTCCAAATAATCCAGCTTCAAATTTGTGAAACAATCAGCGAATCAAGTTTTCTTTAGCATTGCTACGGAAGTTGTTTCTATGTTTGACGGTAAGGAATGTTTAACTATTCCATCGATCTTTATTGTAAAAGTTCCCGTCTATGATTAATGAATTAGTTTCTTTATTTAAAAAAAAAAATTATGGAGTAGTTTACAATATTATGTAAAAATAACATAAGGTCGTATGACATGAAATTGTACCAAAATTAGTAACACGTCAAACAATATTCCTTCTTCGTATGTTTTAAGCTAACAGAGCAATGGTTGTCATGTTCCTTTTGTACGGCCCCTGGTTTCGCCTAATATAAAACCAAACTGATTTAGTTATTGTGCAGTTCATCTCTTTTAAGCTTTGGCAACACGGCACCGTTGCATCAACTGGGGTGTGTTGGTAACTTGTCTGTCTGGCTATTTGTTGGCAAACCACCCTACCAACAAAAGTAAACTAATATATTGGCAAAAAAAAAAAAAAAAAGAACAAAGAAACAAAATAGTTGGCAACTTGGCAATAGTCCACAATATTCACTAAACTAAGGTAACCACTAATTATGTTTGAACAATAAATACATTTCCGTCCCCAAACATTCGTATAATGAATGAGAAGTATCACTTAAGATTTATTTTTAATTACAAGATGGTCGTTCGATTCATATCACAAACGTTAAGAGTTTAGATTTAAATTAAGTTCATTGTCTGTAGGAGTGGACAATTTGGTATTGAGTCTCGAAATTGTATCGACTCAATTTACTTCTTCATATACTCTGAAATCGGAAACATCAATTTAAAAAAAAAAAACAAAAAAACAAAAAAAAGGCATCTTCCCTTACCACCTCATGAGAACTGAGAAGCTGCAGATTTCGTGTTTGACATGAATTCTTTGATTAATTGCTTTAATTGCAGCAAATCTTTGTTCTTTACAAACGTAAGTGTTACTTGTCGTTGCAAAAAGGGCATAAAAATGCCATCTTCGAAGAACTTTCCATTTTTGGTGAATGACAATTTCGTGATGTGCAATTGTGCATCATGTTTTCGAGCTTATTATTAATTTATTATTATACTTTTCCTTTTTTTATATGGCAAAATGTTACATACTACTATTTATCTCAATTTTTATTTGTAAATAAAAACTTTTTATAGGTTGTTATAAGTGTCATGTTATTCATGTTCCATGAATTAAAAATAAAATAATGCTACATTTTCATACAAAAATACGCCATAATCTACTATACTAATAAGACTTAAAGAGAGTTAGACCTATAATTGATAGAAAAAATGACAGTCAAATTTTTTAATCAATAAATTGCTCAGATTTTAATTTTTCCTTGAGATTTTCTAATTTATCCTATTATCTTTTCCGTTAATTTTTGTTAGTTCACCGTTAACTTACTCATTGATTTCAATAAAAAAAAAAAAAGTCTTAGGTTCGAATCTCATCTCAATCAAAGTTGGCATAATTAATTATTAGTACTCTATTTTACTCTTATCTATACTATATATAAAAACAAAATCCTTAAATTTTAACTTCCCGCCCAATTCCTAAAAAATCTCTCTTCCTAATAAAATATATTGATTTCTATTTTCCCATTCGTACAATAATTCTGCGTTAAAATTCTATTGTAATATTATAAAATAGTGTAATACAATCTATACTATATATAAAAACAAAATCCTTCAACTTTAACTTCCCGCCCAATTCATAAAAAATCTCTCTTCCTAATAAAATATATTGATTTCTACTTTCACATTCGTACAATAATTCTGCGCTAAAATTCTATTGTAATATTATAAAATAATGTAATACAATCTATATACTATATATAAAAACAAAATCCTTAAACTTTAACTTCCCGCCCAATTCCTAAAAAATCTCTCTTCCTAATAAAATATATTGATTTCTACATTTTCTATAATAATTCTGCGTTAAAATTCTATTCTAATATTATAAAATAGTGTAATACAATCTATACTTCTATGCTATATATAAAAACAAAATCCATAAATTTTAACTTACTGCCCAATTCCTAAAACATCTCTCTTCCTAATAAAATATATTGATTTATACTTTCCCATTCGTACAATAATTCTGCGTTAAAATTCTATTCTAATATTATAAAATAGTGTAATACAATCTATACTATATATAAACAAAATCCTGAAATTTTAACTTCCCGCCCAATTCCTAAAACATCTCTCTTCCTAATAAAATATATTGATTTCTACAATAATTCTGGGTTAAAATTTTATTGTAATATTATAAAATTGTGTAATACTATTCCTATTCTAATCTATATCTATTTTATATATCAGTTTTGCAAAAATCGTGTCGCTGGCCGCGGCTAGGATGGCCGGAATCGGCCTCCTCAGCGGCCGCCTCGCTGGCTTAACCGGCCTTTAATTTTTTTTTTTTTTTAAGTTGTAAAGTGTCAAAAGTTCGGCAAGGCATAAATTTTGACTCCGTTGT